CAGACCATTTGTAGCTTATTAGGACTAATTACCTGAGCTCATTAATAAAATAAGTTTCTCTACCATGACATGAACCCAACATATTTCTATAAATGCTTCGATAATTTTAGAGATTTTAAGTTTTTTTAAAAATCTCTTATTTGGTTTGTTATAGTATACAATATCTTTATATAAGTTATGTATATTATATCTATAAAACTTCAAAAGTGTATTATTTTGTATTTTGAAAAATTAAAAAACTTTAACAAAAAAAAAAGTGCTTGTGGTAGGGTTTGAACCATTGCAATGCACTTCATAAATACTGCAAGCTAACTGCTTTGGCCACAACGGCATGTTGTCTAATAAAAGTTTCAACACTTTATAATGAACAATAGACAATAAAACAGCAAATAAGTTTTTTCAAAATATTTTTTTATCATTTTTTCATAGTTTACAGTATCTTTATATATGTTGTGTATATAATATCAAAAAAACTTCAAAAGTGTTTTATTTTGTATTTAAAAATATCAAAAAAGATTGGGGGAAAAAAAAGGTGCCAATGGTAGGATTTAAACCACAGCACTTTGCATCTGAAATGCTGCAAGCAAACTAATTCAGCCACTGAGCTGTATGGTATCTCTATTGTGTTAATAGTATTAAACAAGCAAAAGACTTTATAAAAAGGCAAATAAATGCTTTAGATTGAAGTTAAGAAGACATTGGTGCAATGCAGTTTCCAAATAAAAGTTAAGCTGTGAAACTTGATTAGTATGTGAAAATTACATAGTTTAAAGCATTATTATAAAGAGTTTATTTATTATATAGACAGTAACTATTTGAATACAAAATGTAAGCGTTTTATAAGTGTATTTACTATTATTTTAATTTTAATTTTTATTTAAATATAAGCAATTTTGTTCATTCAACTTTTACTAAAGGTTTTAAGGTGTTTGAAGGCATCTTTTAAATAAAAGAAATAATTACAGTAAGCTTAATAAATAAAATATATAAATAAATAAAATTAAAAAAAATAATAAAAAATAAAAACATAAATAGTATATATATTTAAAAATATTAGGCACATTGAAAAAGTTACCTTTATTTTAAATTTTTTTGAATATTGAAGACATATAAGTTTTAAAAATAACTAAAACTCAATAAAACTTAAAATAAGAGAATTTAATAAGACTAAAAGTTATGGTAATCGTTATTTTTATTAAAGTCAAAAAGAATATGAAAAGAAACAAAACTTAAAATAGGCCTATTAATTGGGGTATGATACCTTTTAACACATCATGCATAATGCCTGGTAGAAAAGACTGTATAACATTAAAATATAATAAATCAAGTAAAAAAAAACAGCATTTTTCATCTTTATACGTACTTGAAAAAAATAGACATGATATAGCTAAGATATAGCTGCTAAATGATAATGATGCATTTCATTAGTTCTAAGTTTTGTATTGAATTTTGTCAAAACACTATTTTTTTCAGTGTAAGAAGTCATACACTGATGACAAAAATGTTCGGAATTAAAAATGTGATGAAATCCAGCAAGTGCATGGACAGAAAGAAATTTACTGGTCAACAACAAAAAAGGAACAAATCCAAATACTGTTTTTTCTATTTGGGTGCTGATTCCAAAAATACTATCAGTTTCTTTTTATCAGGTCAGGTTTCTCTGATATACATGCCACTTTTTTTCACATTTATATGCATTTTCAATATTACAAAATCTAGAAAATGACCCCTGGATCTTTAAGATATAGTTACATTTTAGTTACACATTCAGTACATTCAGTAAGGAATCCTACGAAAATGTTATACTGCTGAATGCAATTAAGTATGATCAGTACAAATGGAAAATATGTGGCGATCTTAAAGTAATTGGTTCACTGTGAGGCATGCAGAGCAGCTTCACATAATACAAGTGCTTTTTATGTTTGTGAGACAGCCAGGCAACACAGGAGCACTACATGAAAAAGAACTAACCCCCACATAAAAAAGTTTATTCTAGGACAGCACAGTATTAAATCTAACCCACTGGTTGATCAAGGATGCATTCTCCAGCTGCCACTTCATATAAAACTAGTACTCATAAAAAACTCTGTCAAAGCCATGGATTCAGAGAGACATGGGTTAATATATGTGTGTCAAAGTTTTTCAGATCAAAGTGACGCCAAAGTAAAGGAGGAAATGTTTGTTGTTCCACATGTTCAAGTTCTCCTGAATGACACAAAGTTGCCTAATAAATGTTAAAGAATAAAGAGCATGGAGTGTTTTTAAAGATATCTGTGAAAATTTTCTAGGGCTAAACAAAGCTTCTAACTTTGAAGATAAAGTTGGAGAACTTTTGAGTGCATGTCAAGATCGAGGTGCTAGGATATCTTTAAAAGTACATTTCTTGCATAGCCATCTGGATTTTTTTCCAGAGAATCTTGGTGCAGTCTCGGACAAGCATGAAGAATGTTATCACCAAGACATTGACACTATGGAGAAGCACTACCAAGGACGATGGAACCCTGGAATGATGAGAGACTACTGTTGGGTGCTTAAGAGGGAATGTGAAACCCTGCACAGCCGGAAAATACACTTTTAATGAGATATTTAGTTCCATAGCAGCAAACATAAAATATTAAGCAATTAATGGACATCAAATGAACTGCATTTATTTTCCACAAAGTTTAGTGTACTATGTAGGTCTCATGGTAAACAAAACTACAATAACAGGATTGGATGAACAGTTTTGTAATCTGAATTGGTCTATTCACTGTATTATAATTATAAAATGGATAGTCTTTTAGAATAAAAATCTATAAAAACATAATTTACTTATATTTCTATTGCCATTATTACATATAGGTAATAATGGTTATAAAAAATAATAATGATAATAGAAAATAATAATGGTAATAGAAAATAATAATGGTAATAGAAAATTTCAGTCAGCCTTAAATGGCATCATATGAGGTGTCAGGTATCCAGATATCCAGACCTGATGCAGAACTACTTTAATTTTTAAAATCAGCACCCAAACTTAGTTATTATCACCTATAGCAACCTAAGATACTGGGCAAAAATTTTTTTTTTGTAAATCAGTGTTATCAGCAGATAAAGTTGCAACACGTTTATCGTTAATCATAACTGAAAGGCTTTCATTTTGCAATATCAGCAAAGTTTGAATTAATGGTCTTAAAACTTGCTTGTAAGTTTTATATTTCTTAATAAATTTTTCTTCTTCAATGTTGCCTTAGAAGAAATGAAAAAAAAGCTGAAAGTTTATATACTTTGCAATTGGCGCAAATAGGATTACACACCTCGAATTCATCACAGGATAAATAGATTATTAATTTATAATTGTCATCTTTAATAACATTGTGTTTTTTACAAATAAAACTATCCAAATATGAGTATAACAAATCTGTATTGTTAGGCTCCTCTTTTTCAAGTTTTCGTCGCATTGAACTCCAGATAAACTCATTATCAACTAATTTTTTCAGCTAAGGTGCAGCTGGTATTAACTGAAAAGTTTCACTTTTTGATGTTCTTAAATCATTCTAATATAAATTTTCTGTTATAATGTGAAAATTTTTTTCAACTGGCAGAACAAGACCTTTTTGCGACTTGCTAAATGAAATGCTTTTTGCCAATATGCTCTGTAAATTTTGCAAACAAAATTTACAGAGCATATTGGTTATAATAATGTATAATAATGAGTTATAATAATGTATAATAATGGTTATAATAATGAGCATATTGGTTATTAAATGCTCTTCCCCAATTCATTTTATATTCGTAATAATAATGGCATATTGGTATTAATAAATTTCCTACATGGATATAACAAAAACTAAAGCTCCTGCTTTAAAATCAAAATATGATAAAAAAGACACAGATTCCATAAAAATTCACCAAGATATACTTTGTGTGTTTAAAAAAAGGAAAAACCACCAAAAAATAACCTTTCATCTGTTTAAAGAAAAGCAATTAGGGAAATTACAGTTAACAAAAACATACAAATTTATTCTTTTGATAAAGGCAGAGCCTTTATCAAAAAGGATAAATTAGTATGTATTCATCAACACATTTAGAGAACTTTATAAAAAAAAAACCAATTTAGAAAAAATGAATACATGCATTTTTGTCCAAGTGAATTTGAGCATCTTTGGCATTTACTTCCTCGCTATCAATTTCAAAGCTATCCAATAAGAATTATTGTCTTAATGCAGCTGTTGCGCAGTGGTTGGAGTTCTGGCTTAGTATCCAGAGGTCCAAGGTTTGATGCCAGGTCTAATCCAATAACAACATTGGTAGGGAAAGAGGTATGAACTTCTTTGTTAAATGCTCTTCCCCAGGGCTCTGTGATAAGACCGTAAGGACTTTTAGGAGCACTATAATATCTAAAAAGAAAAAAAGAGCACCTTAATAACTACAAAAAAGCAAAACATCTATATATTGCTATAGCAACATCAAGTTATAATGTATCTGAATACCTAGTAAAAAATATACAACATACACTTGATAAAAATGTAAGGTTTAAAATTTTTCTATGTATTTGTCAAAAAAATAAAGTCATGGAATGTAACATCTACTGAGGAACAGGTATCTTATGATGTTGTAAACATATATCCATATGTACCAATATAGAAAGCAACAGAAAATATTTTAAATAAGCTCAATAGTGTTTCTAATTATCTATGAGATAAAACTTAAAATTATAGACATAAATAAGCTTATTAATCTTTGCCTCCAGAATTATTATTTTGTCTGGGAAGTAGTCTTCAACAATTAATAAACTTCACCTATTATAAAATTCAGGACCTCTAAAGGACCTTTAAAGCAAGGTTTGAAAAACTAGATGGATTAAGTGTTTTCTAATAGTTAAAAACTAAAACTTTGTGTTGTAAAGCCTTATTATATACATATATGTTATAGGTCTTATAGCATTTTTATTTAAATTTGTGGTTCTTAGTTCTTTTTTTAACATTTTAATACATTAAATTATTTTTTTTGACATGTAGGGATAAGTCATGATCAAGGTTCAATTTCATTTCAATCTGCAGATGACAATAGCTCATATATTCGTCATACTGGTTATATTGCTTATCTACACAAGTTTTCTACATTTACAGAAATACCTCGCGATGGATCATTTTATATTCGTCAAAGTAATGATAGTTCGTATATTATGATTGAGTCTACCAATTTTCAATCATACTTTCTTCAAGAACAAAATTCTATATTTGCAATTGCAACAAATTTGTCACCAGCTCCATATTTTAAACTTCTTGTTTATGGTATTAATCTATATATTTTTAACTGTAAATGCTGTACAAATATTAGTCATGAAAATGAAACCAGTTTAATTATTATAATTATTATAATTTATAAAAATATTTTATATTTATGAAAGTAACAACTTTTATAAATCTTCTTTGTTTATAAGTATGTTTAATAAATATAAACAACTCCTTGTTTTTGTCTTTTACAAAATTTTTTAGGTTTTTAGTTTTGTTGATCATTGGTTGATATTGTGACATAAATATTAAGGTTGACCATTTAACTGGTTAATTAAATGGTTTGATCTTTTAGATTTGACCATTCTAACAAGATTGTAGCAATAAAACACTAAACATGTTTTAAATTGTGAATCTTAGTGTATAAGTTTTTTGCCATTTTATGTTATTTTTTAAGTTTTTGAATTTATTTATGGTTTACATATTAAAGATTTAATAACTCATAGTGGATAGGAATAAACAAAATTTATAATATTAATACTCTTTAATGTTATATTTGTAACTTAATCTATTTAGTTAAACAAGTTTTATAATAAGATATCATGTTTAGGATAGCCATGTTAATTTATGCAATTTTACACAGAACTATTGGGGTGAAAAAAAAACATTAAACAAATTGAAATGTATGAACTCAAAAAAGCTCATAAAATAATAGACAATATTTTATATATTTTTTCAAAAGAAAAAAAAAGTTCTGTTCATATTAAATAACTTACTTATAACCACTAATTAGAGTTGGAAGTTACTGGAAGAGAACTGATACAGATTGTAGAGCAAGATAATGATTGACAGTCAACTTAAAGGATTGCAAATTATATTAATCAGGAAAGCAAATGAATTCCAAAGAACTGATGTTTTTGGAGCACTTAGGAACAGTCACAGAAAAGGATGAGACATAATTGAATGACGAGTAACACAAGAATGAATTTTAGTAGATGGCACAAGAGACACTTGCTCTTTAGAGCAATGTCCATTATAGTATTTGTAGAAAATAGAAAGAGAAGCAACATTACGACGATGTGATAACGGTTGGAAGTTGGCTGCAAGAGCAGGTCCAACTATGTTTACAATACATTTTTGCACCTTGTCTATAAAAGAAAGGACATCATTAGAAGATTCGCCCTAGATATAGCAACAGTATTCCATACAAGGCTGGATTTAAGATTTATAGAGATGAAGAATAAAATCCTGAGTAAGAAGGTGGCGAGCAGGATAAAAAGATATAACCTCATTATGCTAATTTTGCAATGAATTTAAATATGGTTTCCAAGAAAAATCAAATATTTAATCCTAGAAGACAAAGGGTAGATGACTCATCGAGTACATTACCGTTCATAAACCGTTCATAGGAAGATCTAAATTATTGCAATAATGATTGGCTGAAAAAAGTTGAGTTTTATCTGAATTAAAGTTCACCAGCCACTGTGAGCCCCATGCTGTAGCAGAAGTGAGATCTTTTTCAAGCTCAAATGTCCCCTTTTAGCAATCATAGATTGTTGGCTTCTTATCATGACAAGAATAAATGGTAATATCATTAGTGAACAATGCCACTTTAGATGTGAAAATATCTGGAAGATTGTTAATGTAAATTAAAAAGAGTATAGGGCCAAGGATTGAACCTTGAGGAACCCCTGAGGCTACAGAATAAGAAGAAGTCTATCAAGTACAACTTTTATACTACAATTGGAAAGGAAGGATTCAATAATCTTAAAGATGTTACCAGATACACTGTAAGAAGAAAGCTTATGGAGAAGACCAGCATGTCAAACTTTATCAAAAGCTTTCAAGTGATGGCCTTAACCTCTTCACCTTTATCTAATGCACGATAAAACTTATCTGTTATTACTGTTAGCAAATCAAATGATGATCAGAAGTAAGTTATTAGATTCAAGATGAGAGATCAAAATCCATATTAATGATAAGAAAGTAAGTTATTACATTCAAGATGAGAGATTAAGTGTTTGATAATTAAAGATTCAAAACCCTTGCTTATTATAGAAAGAAGACTAATGGGTTGGTAGTTAGACGAATCAGAACGCTCTCCAGAATTTTTGAAAATTAGGATAACAGATGCTGCTTTCTAACAGGCTGGAAAACAAGACTCTGATAAGCACATGTTGAATAGTTTTGAAAGTATAGACAGCAGCTCTGGGAACACTTCTGAAAGACTATAACAGGTATGTTGTCCAGACCACTATCTTTAGAAATCTAAGCAGGAAATCACTTTAGATACAGAAGCTAGAGTGATATGAATGTCAAAAAATGGATCAACCAGTTTGACGGCTTTATCAGGTAGAACGCAACTGGTAGAATCAAGAGATGATATTGATGAAAATATCTTAGCAAACAATTTAGCTTAGTCTTTAGGTGAGGTGACAAAGTTTGAACAATAAAAAAGAGGTGGAATTACAGATTTGCTCTTGTTATTGATACTATTTAAGATTCTCCAGAAGTCATGAGAGCCTAATTTTTGTGATGAAATACGAGATGAGAATAGCAGGCTATGGTGTTAGACACAACCTTTTTACAATGGTTTCAAGGAGTAATTAATAGACGCCTGTTTTCATGGAGAATTATTTTGCTGATAGATATGGATGTAGCAGTTTGGATTAGTTATTGCAGCAGCACTATGTGAGGAAAACCACGGAGAAGAGTGAGGCTTGACCTGAAATTGTTGAGAGGGAATAAAAGATTCCATGCCAGCCTGAATCCACAAAGTTATGTAAGAAGAACAGGAAGATGATACATTTCTGCCCAAGTGCCATCACTAAAAAAATCACGGAAAGAGTTCCTGTCAGCTTTAAAGTAGTTGTAAGAGGTAGGATGATAGGGGGATTCAGATGATGAAGAAGAATGAGATGATAGTTTTAGAGAGATCAAACCGTGATCAGAAGCACGTAAGGGTAAATGTGAAGAGACTGAGCTCTAGGATCAGAAACAAGAAATAAGTCGATCAATTTGATCAGAAATAACATCAAAAAGAACGTAGTCTTGAAATAAAGGAGAGCAATATGGAACAAAGAGAAAGGTGATAGAGTGAATTGCTGCAAAACAAAAGCACCTAAAAGAATAATCTGTGGATTCAAGCCTAGCTTCCCAACAAATGGGTGAATTCTTATGAATGTAAATGGTGGGGCAAACCATGTGACTATTGGAGTCTTTACGAATTAAAGATAACCATCAACACTAAAATCACAAGACGAGACAGCTGAAGTCAAATTAGTTTCACAAAGAGCAAGTAGATCTGGTGAACTTTGCAAGAGATAAGACTCAACAGAAGAAAAGTTACTTTGAAGACCACGAATATTAGTGAATGATAGGTTTACAGAACTAGGTGATGATGATGGTTTTTTGTGTTTTATAGTTTTTGGTACTTTATTCATTTTTAAATTTGTTAAAGAACTTGACTCAAAGCATAGATAATACTCAGTGCACTATTAGCCCAATCAATTGCCTCATTACTATTAATAAACCCAAAGCCGTAAAAAAAGGCTCCAAATGTGGCCTTGGGAATGCACACCAAAAGTACAAACAGGGACACTATCCATGCGCAACATGGCGCTGTTAATACTTTGATAATGTGTATATTTTGTCACTTATGTATTGTAATGCGTATAATTTTTCACTTAAGAAGTTATGTCTGAGCATCAGACAACTTCTTAAGTGAAAAAAAAAAAGAGCGAAAAAGTAATTACAATAAAAAAAAACTTTTTTATTTTATTTTATAGAAAATGACAGGTTTTTTTTTTTTTAAATAGAATGTCTTTTAAGTAATTTTATATCAAGTTTTTTAAACTTTTTAAACTATAATTTGCTTAAATTAGGTTGTTGGTGAAGAATAAGCTAAAGAACTTCTAATATTCAAAGTAATTTCCTAATCTAAGTATATTTTAACTTTTTTTTTATCTTAAAACCAACGTTTTTATAAAAATAGCTTTAAAGTTCAAGTAGGAGATTTGTTCTATAAATTTTATAATAGTTTTCTCTTTCTTGTGCTTTTATTTCTAATTGGATTTCTTTTTTAATTGAAACTCTTTTGAGATCAAGTGTCTTTTTATCACTGCAAGAAATAATACAAAAAGTTTTTTTTCTAACACTTAAGTCTGTTATTTCTATTACTATATTACATTAATATATATTTTTAAAGATATATCTATATATTTTGTATTTTATTGTAATAATAAAAGTACAATTAAAGAATTAAAGTTTTTAAGTCCTAAAGTTTTATAAATATGTCTTAAATATTTAAGTCCTAAGTTTAAATATTTAAAATTGTAAGATCGATTTTAAATTTATTGTTTGTTTTTAAATGAATAAAATGTGGTTTCCTTTGGATTTAATAGACCAGGCGCTTGTACAATGCAAGTTGGATGTCAAAATTGTTATATTCTTCAAAACTTGCACTCTTGAACTAGAAAGTTAGTCAGCTACCTAAGGAAACAGCTTTTGCTAAACTAACTAAAAAGGGTTGTTCAGTTTATTGTATTTTGTTATATTATATAGGGGCTATTATTGTATTTTTTAATACTATATGGTGCACTTATATTTTCAGCAGCTAACAATTTAAATCTTATAAATATATTAATAGAGTACAAAACTAATATAAATATTTTCAAAATGAAATAGCTTCCTGAAATAGCTGATTTGGCTTTGATTGGTTTGGCTGATTTTGTAGGTGAAGACTCCTCAGTATATTCCACTATATTAGATATAAACTGTAGTTTTTTTGGGAAACCGGTTACAGAATGGCAAAAAACGAAAGTTTTTAGCTTTAATAGATGTGATTTCCAATTTATGTGTTGTTAAGGACTCTGTTGAACTCAAATCTTTGTAGTGACTTAGTAAGAATGGCTAAAAATATGGTCCACAACATTATACAACTGGTAGAAAAAAAATATATTACAAAATTAAATATGTTACAAAATTAAAAAAAAACGCTTGCAACCAAACAAATGTTACATTAAACTCTGACTGGATTGCTTATTTCTTTTAATTTTGATTCAATAGAGTTTATTTTTTTATATTGTACATACATTTGATATAAATGTTAATTTAACATCAACTTTATTGTTGAAATTTGACTTTACTCAATATTTTATATTTAAAATAACAATATTTGATTTAACTTTCACTTTATCATAATATATATATATATATATATATATATATATATATATATATATATATATATATATATATATATATATATATATATATATATATATATATATATATATATATATATATAGAGAGAGAGAGAGAGAGAGAGAGAGAGATATAGAGATATATATACATATATATATATATACATATATATATATATATATATATATATACACATATATATATATATATATATATATACATATATATATATATATATATATATATATATATATATATATATATACATATATATATATATATATATATATATATATATATATATATATATATATATATATATATATATATCTATATATATATATCTATATATATACATATATGTATATATATATATATATATATATATATATATATATATATATATATATATATATATATATATATATATATATATATATATATATATATACAAATATAGGCTTGAACATCACAGTGATAGAAATACTTAGTCATGTGGGATATTCAATCAAGGTCTACTTTAATCTGATCTGGAATGTTTCAAAAGACTATGTAGTTAATTATTTAGATTCATACAATAGAGAAATTTCTACTCTCGCTACAAATGGTTCCGCTGTTATTGACAGTCTTCAAAATGGTAGTGTTTACTCTTTTTTTGTGGGTGTAAAAAATGAGTTTGGTTTTTATGTGTATGGAAAGCATTTTAACTATCAAGCGAATGAAAATTGTAAGATTTTGTTCAATTTTAATAATTTTATATTAATTTCTGTGTTCAAAGACAGGTTTAGTTTGTTAATAATTAAAGATGTTTAATAAAGTATAAAATTAATTTTGTAAGCTTAATTTTGTAAGATAATAATAAATAATGCTGATAATATATAAGGAGACAAGACATGTGAAGATAAATTTAATGCAATTGGACCATTGTTTTAGTTTTGATTGTACCTCAAACTTTCTTGTTTTTTATCAGCAGTTTTGAGTCATTTTTTAAATTAATTACTTAAAGTACCTTGCTTTTATTTCTCACTCATTTTACATCTGGAAAACTAAACTGAAAATAGGAATCAATAAAGTTGTAATTAACCAAGCAGGTTAGAATAATAATTCTAGAAAATATGAAATTGTATCTCTGTATGAATTGTAAATCTCTGCGCTTAGTTTCTACTACTTTTTGTTTAAAATAAAATTTTAAGCAATTTCCAAGTGGCCATAAAATTTTTTTAACTTCCTAATACATATAGAATAGGTTTGTTCAAAAATTTGAATTTTCACACGAAATGTTTATTTTTCCTTTTTTTTTTTTTTTCACATATAGCATCCTGGCTAGGATTCACTAGTTTACCGTATACTAAAAATTTAGTATGCAGTTTACTGTATAGTATACCGTAAAGTATACTGTAAAGTATACCGTTGATAAAACTTTTTTCTGGCAAAATGTACTACAAGTTTATAAAAAAGTTTTGATAATTTACATTTAAAAAATGTTGTTTTTTTTTTATTAAATTTTTTTTGTTTGTGCGTTTTATTTATATATTTTAGTTATATAATATTTAATTTAGTTACATTATATATAAGATATCAAACTTTTATAACAAACGATTTTTGAATAACAATTGGTACAGTTGTGTTTATCAGTATGTCATTTGCATTTGTTTGCTGGTGACCCTGGTTATTTTCTGACATGTGATGACAAAGTATGGCACAATATGAATATATCAAAAACTTTGTATATAAATGCAACAATAATATTTCTCTGTCATTGTACACTGAAAACAATACTTGTTTTTCATATAGGCCATAAATTACTTTAAATTAATTTTATGCATTTATAGTTTCAGCAGATTTGATACATTTTTCATGGTTTATATTAGTATATCAAGGGTAGTGTGTTTTTCTTTTAGGTCAATTATTACAATTTTACTTTAGCTTTTGGCCAAAATCAACTCAACAGCGGTTTTAGAAACCGACTGTATGTTAAAGTTAATGCTCATTTGAGGGTCATTTCACTGTGGCTCATTGCAAAACTAATTGCAAAATAGGTTTTTGAATCACTCTAAATTGAAACAAGATATTTATTCCTGATTTAAAATAGCTGACGAGCCCAGCTTGTTGTTGTATTTCATATTTAAAAGCTTTAAAAGTAAAAATAAAAACATATTTTTGAAATTTCAACAAACTTTTTTATATTTACTAATGTAAAAAATAAGCTGAAAATAATATAATAAACATCAATCCTCTTTATTCTGGCTGTCCTATTGCCCCCTCCCCCCACCTCAAATGCTTTTTTAAATTGAAGTTTGATAATATCAAATTTTTGATGGGCCGGATAACCCCTTTAAAATGATAATTTTAAAATTTGCTTTACATCCTCACTAGGTAAATAAAAAAAATGAAGTAAAATTCTCATTGTTGTAAAACAAGAGCTTTCAATATCAAGTCTTCACGCCATATTTGCATTAAATTAAAAAATCCTAAATAAACTTCAGAAATTCACTTCAAGTAAACAAGTATCTGATTCTCATTTACCTACTAGTTTTGATAAAAGTTTCATAACATTAATAAAATGTTGACAATCTTCTCAAAAAAAACTGCCTTGTATAATATTTACATATTAAAGATATACATGAAAAAGTGCCTGAGTTGTCTAAGTTCAAATGAACTAATTTGTTTTCAAGATTACGGGCAACTGATGTATGATGAATATACCACCATGGTAAAAACTGCATGTGATAATGCTTGCATTTACTTTAAATTATTTTCTAATTTATCACGGTTTTGAATTATAAGAAATTAATCAACAAGAGATGTTCTTTGTTTAACAAATGCTGTCAGATTTCCAGACCTTTCTAAAACATCCACAAATTCTGGTACAAGGCAAATATTTATCTAAAAGATTGATTGTATGGGCATTACAAAATATTTTTGGATATTTTTTATCAATAATATCTCATGCAGCTCTCATGTTTAAAGCATTATCATTGCTTTACAATGCTTGTAACCTTATTAACACCAACCTCAAGAATTACATTTTATATGCGAGTTGCAATAATAATGCCAGTCTTGCTTCTGAACATTTGGCTCAATTTTTTTAGCAATTGGTTTCCTTGTCCTATATTCAACCTAAATCGAATAATTAATGAGATGATTTAAATTAATGTTTGAAAATCCATCAGTCACTATACTTACATATTCTTTTATTAAATGTTTTTCAATATTTTAAAAAGGATCTTTATAAAGGTGCCAACTAATGAATTTACTAGATGGAAGCTTATACACAGGTCTAAGATTTGCATGATTTTGCTTCCAAGCAGAAGAATCACTCCTGTATGGAAAAATACCCTTGCATATGACTTATCAATCTTTTCAATGTCATCTGTGTTTATTGTGTAAAAGTATGAGTTTAGCATAGTTCTTTTAGTAGGCAACCTAGAAACTGAATCTTCAGAGGTTTGTAAGGTCATATGTTTCAGCTAAAACACTCTGAATTTCTTTTTTTTTCTTTTTTTGAGACACAATTTTACATCGTCAAAGGCTTTTCCACATCCCCTTATATGCTGCATCCGTCTCAAAGTCAAGCGTACTATAATTTTGTTTATCACAATATTTGCAATAAGTTTTTCTTGTTGAACCTTTTCCAAAAAAAGAATAAAATAAAGAAATGCTTGTAAATTTTGATCATTCATCTTAAATATTTTACTTAAATACAATAATAAACATATGTATAATATTGTTAACAATATTATTATTTACAATAATAATAATAATAATAATAAAAATAGTAAAAATAACAATTATAACTCTCATTATTATTTGTTTCAGATAACATAAATCCAAAGAATAAACAAATATGTACAAAAAAAAAACATTTTTTAAAAAAGGTTTAAGAGCAGCACAAGCAGGGTGGTATAAAAATTTGTTGGTATAAAACAATAACAATTTAACATATTAAAATAAGAAATAATAAAAATTTAAATTAAAAAACGGTTTAGTTATGATAATACAATGAACATGGTATAGCAGTTTAATACATAAGGAAAATATAATTATTAAATTATCAAGTCAGTCTGGAAATATTTCATAAATAAAAGTATACAGGTTAACTAAATGGTATACTAGCATTCACTATTCCAAATATGCGGTAAACTTTACTGTAAAGTTGTTATACCGTATACTGTAACCGGCAATCCCTTGTCCTGACTATTATAAATATGCTATAAAATAATTTGTAAATATGCTATAAAATTAATTTTTTTGAACTGATTGAAAAATTTTAAAATTGTAGTTAGTAACATAAAATTTTGTAACCTTTATATTTTAGAATTTAGACAGGCAAAAAAGTTAGGGGCAGAGCCACAGGCGTAAAAAACAAGTGTGAGATGGGGGTTGTTTTGTTAGATCACCCCCTTTCTCTAAAAGAAATTATTTAAAAAGAGGGCACACAGTCAATTTTACATCAAAATCCATAACCATGACTGCTTCAATCCCTCATCAGCTTTCAAGACCTTTATATGGCGATGAGCAGAGCCCCACTTTTATTAAAATGGAAATTAACCATTGTATGATGTTAAATTACTATATTTTAGCGCTTCTGCTTTCTCCGCCTGTAGACAAAACTAATAGCAGTCTCCACCTGACTAGTAGAATTTACTTTAATTATCAAATAGTTTGCAAATAAAATCAAGTTAATATTGCAAACAGTTCTCAATGAAGTTATTATTTCAACTTTAAAAAATGTTTCTAGCAAATTTAATTTTATACAAAGTTTTTTATAAAATGAATTATGCTTTCAATAGCTGAAATCAGGTTTTTCATGATTCAACCTGTTACTCTGCAAAAAAACATTAAAGTATGTTTCTTTGTGGATGCTGTTAAATACATTTTATATAAAAACTTTTAACGATGTAATAATTTATTATTATAAAATTTCAAAAGAATAACCATTTTTTAGAGTTGTTTTGGTTAAGTAATACAAAAACAAGTCTGATCAAAGCAATCAAAACAGAAATGTGAAGATATACTTTTTCTTAAAAGTCAGATAGGAGAAAAAAAAAGACTTTTGGACACATTGACAACAGAAAACTAAAAATTGAATTGAGGAGAATGGAGCATTTCCTTAAAACATTTGCACCAACTGCTAAAATATCAATTGAGCCTAATCTTTGTACATCTGGAGTTGTTAAAAATTCATTCTGTATTTTATTTTCAGAACCAAGCTCAGAATCTGACTCAAAGAATGAATATGCAGCTAATTTAAAAACTATAAAAAAAAAATTATTACTCCAACTAAAGAAAATATTAAAGAAACCATGCAAACTACTGTAGGTATGGATATTTTACCCATTAAGATGACAGTAACTTTCATAAGGTAATTACAAAAACAG